CTACTGGGGCAAATTGCTGACGGCACTGGTCGATAGGACTATCTGAGAGACAGGCGAAACGAAGGACCCGCATGGTATGGTGGTGAACGCGTTACTCTCCGGTAAGAATAATGAATGGCGCGTTCGTTCCCCACCGCAGACACCTGCGGTTCGGAGTTTTGCAAATATCTCAACATCATTGTGATTATTTTATTTACTTATTTATTTGTTATCATACATTTGTCAACCTCGTGCAAGCTCATCAAAGAAAGGAAAATTGTTTGAACAACTTTGAATTCGTTTTGAATCAAGCAGTTTCTTCTTACAATTCCTCTAATTTAAACAAATCATTTTTGATGAGTTATTGATACAGTTCTGCATTTATAGAAATCTTCAGGTCATTAGCTAGAAGCGCTATAATGCCTCTTGGCTCGAATCCGTGTCATCGATCTTCTTTCCCAAAGTAAGCATTTTGTACCGCAATGCCACTATATTGACATTGAAATTATATAGGAGGTTTCAACATTATCTTTACATAATAGTAGACTACTACAACTCAAAACCGAACCATAGGTACGGTTCGCTGTACAGTCCTCAAATGAGTCGAAGAAATGTGGCATCGACAATGGATTGATGATCATAGAACTCCTTTAATTCGCTATGTAAGATGTGAAACTAAAATTTATTTTAGCTCGAAAACATAAACTAAATACCCCACAAGGCACGTATAGGACCCAGAGACATAACGGGGAGGACTTTGAAGTACTGGTCACGATCCTCGCACAGGAATCCAGAACGCAAGCGCGCAAAACTCTCGAGGCGTTCTGGATTATTTCCAGAAATCCGAAAATGAACCGCATTGAAGAATGCCTCATTATCACGCGTGATATAGGGCAGTATATAAACCTGCTATTCTGATGGGAGGGGCACATTACGCTTCCATGTGAATTCTGTGCGGTTGGTCTTCACACGACATACTCAGTGGAAGACTCATAGAGAGCGGTGAGTGTGCGGAGCTGTGTTCAATGTGATTGAAATCTTGGTTTGGCGTTTTCTCTGTTTGGTTGTGAATGTGGTTGGCCGAATAGGTTGCTGTCGACGTGACCTTTGCAGGCTCTGAGAAAGGCGAAATCCGCCGAAGCGTTAGCTTTTACGTGAGTGGGAAAGTGGAATAGCACCTCATGTTTGCTGAGCAGAAGTGGAAAGAGTAAAATTTATTTGATGATCACATGAAAATTACGGTGCATGTGCACTCAGATTTATAAACGAAGTGGTTCATTTTATCTGTCTTCTTCTACCCCATGACGTTCATCAAGCTGCAGTAGTCGGAGATGGCACTGAAATGAATGAAATGTTTGGTGGTAATCCAAAATTCTTGACGTCTTATGATAAGACGGCAAAACGAAACAAAGATAGCTCTACAACACACTAAAGAGATGCTCTGCAATGCAAATTGGACGGGTTACTAGTTCGATCACGCACTCCAAGTTGATTAAATCTTCTATTTTACCGAGATCGTTAAATGCTACCATACATGTCTTAATTTATAAAAAGCACTGACACTGACGTAATAGATTAGAAAAAAAATAAAAAATAAAAAATAAAAGATAAAAAAAATCGGTGCCTAATGACATCGAGCGCATGGCCAATTTCTCAGCGATCGATCAACACCGAAAGCTTAACCCGTATTTAACGGACTAATAAAAGGCCACTATATGAATAAATCCTGAGCTATTTTATACCATCTTACGTCAGTGTTTTTTAGGTTATATGTATTTTTTCTGCGCTAGTGGACTGCACTGTCTAGGAACGTTTCAGATTAGAAAAGAATTTGAAGGCAGTTTAAAGAGCGGGGATAGCTTTAAATTTAAATACATCGAAGCAACAGATTCATGGCCATGTATTATGTGAAATAATTCATTATTCGTATATTAGTCACCGCTAGCTGACTCTCTAATGGAATTCCTCTATTCAACAACGAAATTCGAGACGATTTAATAAATTTTTGTTGTTAAAAACAGAGCTGAGAGAAAGGAGAAACGAAGAACACGCATGGCATAGTGATGAACACGATAATGCTCGAAAGGGTAATAGCGTGCTCGACCTCCATCGAAGAGATCTGCTGTCCGGAATATTGCAAATATCTCAGCATCGTTGTAGTTATATTTCACACCATACCCCCCCCCCCCCCCCCCCCCCCCCCCCCCTACCACGGATCTCCTTCGTATCAGTGATCTCGATCAGGTTAGTTGCGAGACTGCGTGGAGCGTCCCCAGAAAGCGGATAGGAGTTAATCACGAACCAAAAGCGACCACTGCTTCCTTGAGACGCAAAGGATGGGCTACCTGTTTTTGCTGTGCCGATTTGGTACATCCTTTCTGTATTTACGAGGCGTATTCAAGCACGCGTCTGTAGGTGCGTTCTAGTTTATGCGGATTCTATTCTACGAGTTAATTCGGCTAAAAGCCAGCAATCAATTAAGAGGGAAGAACATGGGAGGCAGCTAAGAGTCGCTTCCAACAACTAATCTTCATATGCACTCCGTGAGAGACTGGCAAGCTACCCATACCTAGCCATCACGTTCAGAGACGAGCAAGCTATACGTGGGCCGCAAAATGCTAAAAGCACTAAAGAATTGGGCCTCATCCCGCAGACCCCGAAAGAGCACCCAATTCGGCAGCGTTGGGTAGGATGAGTAAGGGGAGGCTACTAAATTCTCAAGACCACTCCAAGCTACCTAAACCGTAAGGAAATACGGTGACGATTTGTACCTACAATGTACGCACGCTTCCATCCGAGTCCTGCATAGAAGACTTGATTATACAAAAAAGAAAGATAAGTTACGACTTTATCGGCCAGGCTGAGACGAGACGACGCCACACATTCAACGCTGTCTATGACACCAGAGAAGAAGTATTCCTCGTAACATGTGACAGAAGAGGAGTCGGCAAAACATGCATTCTCGTCAACACGAGTTTGGCTATGAACATCAATTCATTCTAACAACTAGCAACCCGAATTGGTCGTTTACGATTGAAGAGATGTGGATCAATACCGGCTTAGACAACCTTCGTCGTTTACGCGCCAACATAAAACTATGACGAAAAAGAAGTCGAAGCGTTGTATATGGATTTGGAGAGGTTCTACAGAGAAGACCATACATTCTCCAAGGTCATCGTTTGAGATTTCAACGCCACGTTTGGACCAAGAAGAACATCTGAAGAACGTCGCACTAGGATTCACGGATTAGAAAGAAACGAACAGTGTGAGCGGCTTCCTGGATTTATCATGAAGACCATGACCATTCATGGTAAGAGGCAGTTTCGGAAGCCCTACCCTCAACATTGGAGGTGGGAGTCTCGCAGTGGAGAGTACCACAACGAAATAAAGCACGCCATATGAAATAGAAGGTTTTGTTTAATCGATGCCGCTGTTGTCTCAAAACCCTACACTGGATCAGACCATCGCCCCCTTCGTGCAAGTTTCTATTTTTCGCTGAAAGGAGAAAAAGCCGCTAAATTCAAAAACCCAAGTCCAGGAACCACCATCAACTGGGACTTCTTCATCAAATAGTGGGCCGTTGTGAAGATGCCGTTTTCTACAACATTGACGAGTAATACGATTAACTCATTCAACATATTAACGATAGCGCTATGAAAGCTGAGAGTTCGAAAGTCACCAGGAGATGTCTGTCTCCAGAAACACTCGAGTTGACACGCCAGCGTCGAATCGCACGAGCTGCAGGCAACCGCGAACTAACGTCCGAACTTGCAGAACAATGCAGGCAGGCGGTAAAAGAAGATCTTAAAGAGAGAAGAGCAACAGTAATGGTCGAAGCTGCAGAGGCTGGGAAAAGCATTTGCAAAGTCCACCGAAGCTTCGCCAATTACAAAACGATTGCACTCCGACGCCCAGACGGAACAGTTACAGCGCCTAGAAAGGCAATGAAGAAAATCATTCACGGAAACTACTCAGATCTCTTCGATAGCCACGTCCATCATCCGTTATATGAAATAAAGGAGTATGGATATGTTGTACCACCGGTTCTCCGTTCCGAAATCCGATATGCTATTTCGTCAGTGAAAAATCGCACACCCCCAGGCCCGGAAGGGATAAGGTCTGAACATCTGAAGAACCTTCCTCCATTACTTGTAAACACACTGGTTCGGCTCTTCACAAGCTACCTGTACGAATGCAAGGTCCCTACTCAGTGGAAAACCAGCAAGACCGTGCTATTGTTCACGAAGGGTGACTTACACGATATCGGTAACTATCGCCCAATCTGTTAAACTTCTGTCGTCTAGAAACTTTTTACTCGAATCTTACTAAACAGGATTTATAAAGCACTAGAAGAAGAGAGGCCAAGTTAGCAAGTAAAGTTTTAAAAAGGATTTACTACGATGGACTGAAACCACACGATAACAGGACCCATTTAAGTGCCGCGAGAGTACAAATGACCGCTCTGTCTAACTTTCATTGATTTAAAGAAGGCCTTTGACTCAGCTGTGATAGAAGAAGTCATGGATGCTTTTGATAGTCAAGGAGACCCTACTCAGTATATAAAAATTCTTCGTAAGCTTTATGAAGATTTCTCAACCAAGATATCACTATACCACAGCGATATTAACATCGACATCGAAAGAGGGGCTTGGCAAGGCGTTACCGTTAGCCAAAATTATTCACCGGCACCCTGCTATACTACCGAGGAAAATGGAAACGAGAAAAGGTGAAATCGAATCCTGCACCCATGACCCACCGAGCCCTCTATCTCTCCGGAGTTGGCAAATTAGTACCAGACTTGTCTGGGAGGGCAGCAGCACTGGTTCGATACATCCGTAGGTCACCGCGAGTCATTGTAAAGACCAGAAATGATTGCATTCAAATGCATTCAATTTCCTCCAAACTATGCCTAATGAAGTCGAATGAATGGCGCATCCCTCATGGATTTATTAACGCCAAGAGCTTTATTCCTTTATCCTTTCACCCTGGGGAACGCCGTGCGAATATTGGAAGGGGATAACATGGGAGTGAAAATCGATGATAAGAAATTACCCCATCTTCGCTATACTGGTGACATCGTTCTTATAACACCAAACCTTAGCGAAGCGGAACGAATGCTTGCCGAGCTTGGCAAAGCCTATGGAAAGATTGGTTTTCGACGAAATCTAACAAATACGATGTTCATGAGGAACGGATTGGTTTCGTATGCCCAATACACGCTCAACGGAACGAATATCTCCGATTGCTCCAGTCAGCTCTATCTAGGTCGGGAAATCAGCATGATGAACGACTTAGCTCCATAGTTGAGCAGAAGGAAACGAGCGGCTTGGATTCAAGTGAATAAATGATGTAGTGGAGAGAACGAAGTACATCCGACCCCGTGCTCACATTTTCAACTCATCGATAATTCCTGCCTTTATTTATGCGTCGGAAACCTATTTACTGCGTAAGCAGGACGCAGGATCATTTAGCGTTATTGAATGCGCAGTTGAAAAGACGATGCTAGGAGTACCCCATGTCACTCAAGTAAGGGAAGGGATCGGAAGCTCCGACCTACGTAAACGATCGAAAATCAGAGATGCCGCTTTGCACGCCAAATAGTCAAAGATAAGGTGGGCTGGACGCTCTATGCGTATGAACGTCACCCAACAGACAAGAGTTGTTAACGACTGAATTCCTCGGGTTGTCGAACGTAGTAAAGGAAAACCACCGGCCCAAAGAGCTCTTCACGAAAAGCGTAGGAAAAAGGTGATGCTCACAGAGTCTCTAGAGCGAGTAGAACCGAATGGGTAACTCTTGCAGGCGATAAGAAAAAGTGGAAGGTTTACTGGTGCCCTCTCGGGTCACTCGACGATCAACGGGACTAAAGTTGTTGCAGGTGATATGTGATAGCCTGCCGTGAAAATAGAATAAACAGTCAATAAGAAGTGACTGCAGTCCAAAATACTTATTTGGAATTAACACAAATATGACCCCCAGGATACTCATGCTTGATACTTGAATAGCCCTACCTCACATGTTTTGCGGACCCCAGCATAATCTGGATTTTTGGAGATTTGCTGGTCATGCCAATGTGTTTTGTTTGAATCCCGAGGTCAGCCTGGGCAAAGTCTGCCCTAGGTGTTCATCACCACAAGCGGTCGAAGTCGTTGTGGATTAGCGGGAGATTTGCCACCATGCGACTTCGATGCCAGGAAGGTGGTGGATCCCGGTATTGGTTTACTCTTAGCTAGGCATCCCGTTGGAAATGCCTAGGATAAGCGAGCAAAATTCACAAAAGGAAACAAGCTCGTAGGATACTTAACTGGCTTTAATGACGATTTGCCCCCCCCCCCCCCCCCCCCCCCCCCCCCTCCCCATCTGAATCATTCCCGTTGACGGGTCATTCCTGATAGCACTGGTCGATAGATAACTGGCTGGTGAGACAGGGAAACGAAGGACCCGCATGGTGTGGTGGTGAACGCGTTAACCCGGGAAAGGATAATAGCGTATTCGTTCCCCACTGCAAACACCTGCGGTCCGGAGTTTTCCAAATATCTCAGCATGTGTTTTTAATTTGAACTACTTTAGCTTGGCTTCTAATATATGTTAATGTGGCTCCTAATATACACTTTCTTTCACTGGTGCGACCAGATGGGCTCGCGGCGATGACACCATGAGCTCCAAAGCTGCTCAACACCGTTTTCGTAAACGTCATTTGCGAACCCAAAAAGAACAACATGAAGTAAAAGTCGATGACAGAAAGTTAGATGATCTTTGTTTTGTTGATGATGGCATAATTCTCATAAAACCAAGCATGAGTTATGTTTTTCCAGCCTTAACATGCTCCTCGGGACACACGTAGCACAACGGTTAGACGTGGTTCTATTGGTAACCCAAGAATTCACATATGATACAGCATGCTAGTGAACAGGCGAGATATGCACTTATTCAGCCCTTAGATCCTTGCTAATGTGGTACACATGGCTTCCCCTCTAAGGATTGATATCAAGGCAGAACGCTTTAGCCTTTAACTTACGAATCCAATACGCAAACATAAGAGGAATGGAAGTACTGCTAGCTTACCAAACACGCTAAAGAGAAAGAGAGAGAAAATGAGAGGAAGTGAGAGAGAAGTGAGAGAGAGGTGAGAGATGATATCTTGAGTTCAGAGCTACGCCGTCGATCCGACAATTCAGAAATCAGTTAGTGACATGTGGCTGGCTGCTCATGTTCTTCGAGGGCGTAGAAACTAAACTTTGCGAGGAAGACAGGCTTGAGCGGAAAAAGGCTTTTATAGTGGCCTTTAAAATTAGATTATAATGGAGGAAGAAGATAAATAATTTCTTCTAGTTTTGAAGTTTCAGCAATGAATAGAACAGATACGCGTTTAATATTATTTTCGCTCTATTACTGTTTCTGCAAATACTAGAGCTTTCTTGACATTGATGACGTGCTCACCTTACTCCGGCTTCAATGGAGCACGAGCATACTTCGGCGATTTCTTTTTTCCAGTTCACCGCACGTGAACATTGTCGCATGGCCAGTTTTATGTTCTGATCGGACATGTCTGGAGTACATCTGGAAGTGGGCAGAGTACCTTACAAATTTTACAATCGCTTTTTAATCTTACACTATATCACTTGATCACTATATGATCAAGTTAACTGCAATCTAGTCAGCTGATTAACCTCCAAAACGATAGCAGAAAAACTACGATGTCGAGCTCTCAGTCGCATCGGAAACAAAACACTTTCCTCACACATTTACCGTCTTCTAGGAGTCTTAGAGTGAACATTTCACATGGAGACCAACGGTACAGTGGTCACTTGAATGGGTAATAGGTCTCTCCCACGTCAAAACATTAGTCCGAGATGTTGCTTAACAATTCGCGTGATAATGAGTCATTCCTTCCCTCTGTTCATCTCTGGATTCAAGGAATTTGTACAAAACGCCTCGAGGGCTTTCTGCGCTGAAGTTTCAGAATCCTTCGCGAGAATGATGACTTCTTTCCGGAAATCTTCTCTGCTTTGCCTGTGTCCTATGCGACCCTGGTGGAGTATTTTGTTTAACTTAATGCTTACTGATGGTGCCGCGAAACGCAGTAGTTAAAGGTGCGGACACCGCACATGGGATCGGTGCCGTGTCCCATGATCACCAAGTCTTCCATCTTTCCGCGATCCGAAAATTGGAACCTGATCTGTCTGAGAGGATAGCAGCACTGATTCAACACATCGATAGGCTGCCGCTGCTCATTGTATAGGGCAGAAATGCATTCAATTACCTCTAGCGTTGCTTAATAAAATCGAATACATGGAGCTTCGTTCAGAGATTGATCAACGCCGAGAGCTTTATGCTTTGCCTTTTTTCACACTTATTATCTCACCTTTCTTTTATACGGATGCACAGTGCTGTACACATTTCGATGACATATTCCTCCTCCCCTACTTTGCAAAAGAACAGGTACACCGTACCCTGAATTTATGTATTCATCTTCTTCACCACGGTGGGATATTGTACAATTTTGCGTTTTTTCATTTTCTATAGCACAGTGGTTATAGCTAATATAATAAGAACGCAAATCGGAAGTAAGAAACATCGTAAAACAACTTACTAGAGGAATATATATACATTCGTATAAAAGGACACTTAGACGGTAAGCGCAAGGCTAAAAAACTACTCCATTAGGCCCGCAAAGAAGACAGAAATATAACGGGGCAGGTTTTCGAGAAGAAATCGCCATCCTCACAAAGAATCTAAGAATCCAGTGCAGTGCGGAAAGCCTCGACGGGCTTTAGGTAAGCTCCACGGATCCAAAAACAAGCACCAGGGCGGAATCCCTCACTACCAGGCGTAATCTCACTCAACGCCTACGACTGATATTTTGACGTGATATTGGATCATTACCCAACCATGTGGGCTTTGTACGCTTAGTCTCCAAATGGATTCCTCATTGAAGGATTCATAAAAAAAGCGTGTATGTGAAGAAACTATTTTATTCCCAGTGCGATCGAAAAGTAATTATGCTAGTGTTTCTGTCAGGGCTCATAGCCAGGTGCTTTGCTAAGCAGACTGCAGACAACTTGACACAGATTAGGACAAAATCACGAAAAGAAGTATAGGGAACGAGGCTCACATTAGCGTCTTTATCTTGGAATCTGCAACTTGTTCTCAAAGGGTTAATCGCTGATTTTGGAAGGAAAGCGCTTATTGCTGTAATCATGCGCCTCAGAGTAATAAGAAGGGAAAGCTGGAAATCCATTATGCCGCAAGTGTGGAATTATTGAACGCCCGACTCCGTCGAGAAGTCTGAACATGCTTCATTCTTTGTATAAAACCCTTGCATTTCAAACCGAAAAGTATCGCTTACGTTACGATTAGTTATGCGTTTCTTTAACGATTATGCAATGTTTCTCATCACAATTTCGAGATCTTTTGTTAAGAAGTCTCAGTAAATCGCGTTATGCAGTGCCAATGTTGTGCGTTAAACCATTTTTGGCACAACTATCGGTGTTATCAAAGGTCCATGCTGCTAGTACAGTGTTACACGCGAGGACTCTGAGCCTCTTCCATGCCGTGCTTCGTGCACACCATTTTGCCAAATCCCTCCGAGTTAATGAATTGTTTTTCCCAAGATCTCAAGCATTGTTAAACACTAAACGCTCCCTCTTTTATCCTTTTATCGAACTCACAGATTATATTTTCTGGCTCGTTGTTCCTTTTTTCTGTTTGCCTACCTCGCAGCCCACGGAAAAGATTCTTAGATCTCTTAGAGTAGATATGGAGTCCCTTTGTCGGGAATGATTGAAAAACACTTCCGATGTACTTCCCAATCGTGTGTATGCCAGTTTATGGTTGCATCATTGTGCAGGGTACAGTCGGAAACAATCCATTCAGGCACTCCATGCACGAATATGTTTGCCTACTAGCAAGAAGTATATGTTACCCTAAATCCATCTACTTCTTAGCCTAGCACCGCATCGCTCATGGTGAACATTCACCATTGTCAGCCGCCCAGAGTATCTTTTAGTTAGTGAGAGGAGGCAATAAAAGACTGTAATGAGTCAGTGATTTCTACTGTCTAGTACCGCTTAGTATTTCGGTAAATAGCACCCTATAATACTTCGAGCTGTAGATAGAAGGTTGTCATTGTTTCAGTTATCCGCGAAAACCTTGTTGAAACTGTGCTAATGCCGACTGTGCCAAATGTCATATGAGAAAAAACACGGGCTATTTACAACATGGAACCATCGATTCCCGTAGTAAATACCTTCCAACGATTCTGTTCCAAGTAGACGGCATAGCACTGCTAAGGATATTTAAT